TGGTTGGAAACAATTTCCCTGGTCTAGAGGGACCCTTTCCAATGCTATGGTGAATTATACGGTATACACAATAGGAAGCAGAATCCAGGAAAAGGCAGCGTTTTGTTGGGAATATAAGAACACTGTTAAAAACCCTGTTTTAGTAGGCAGATACCCATATTGTGACGTCACATTTCAACTTTCAAACAACATGACTAGACCGCATCGCTTTAAGAAAATCCCTCTCTTTGAATCCCTTGATGATTTTTCTGAATATATGTGTACCTATCAAATAACTGGATGCTCGGTATCAACAGGATGTCACCCCGGCAACACGGACACGATGTCCACACTCTTCCTTTGCAATCTTGTAAGAGCCATGGTTCACCAAACTGTGCAAAACTCCAGCATGACTACAAATATATTAAGTAACGTCTGGATGCTTTGTGGCCGGTGGGCATATCAGCGTATACCTCCACGGTGGTCCGGCCGTTGTACGTTGGGCTTTCTTGCTCCCTCAGTTTTTGTGTCAGATCAGCCACCTTCAGACTGTTTGCACAATCGAAGAGATCTTGAAAATGGCCTGGGAGGACCCGGCAATACAGGAACGCAAATTGTACGATCTCTTATTCCACCTCTGGGGGTAGCCATGAATTACAGAGACATCTATGCATTAAATAATTGGACTAGGCACATGTTCAACACTACCATTCAGACTACCAAATTGTTAAACAAGGAAGTGGCAGAAATACGAGAGATTGTTCTGCAAAATCGTTATGCTTTAGACATTATCCTTGCCTTGAAAGGAAGAGTATGTGCCTTAATCCATTCTCATTGTTGTGTTTATATCTCTGATTATAAAGCCAATATCACAGGTACCATTGAGCATATGGAAGACATGGTTTGTCATAATCCGTTACAATCCAACAGATCTGGCGCAATAAACATTTGGGATGCGCTATGGTCTTGGCTATCCGACGGAACCTGGTTGCGATCATTGGTTTCTGCTATTATAACTATTGTGGTTATTTTAGTTTTGATATGTTGTTGTATTCAAGGTTTGCCTTCATTGTTTATGATGTTTAAAAACTTTCCCTCAGGAACTGTCACCCATCAACAGATCAATTTAGTGACTACACCTATCACTGCAGCTCAGCAACCCCTGCTAATCAAACTGGCCTTCACCTTGCCAAGCGACACTGAGAATGACTTTGTATAAAACGCTCCCTCCTTATTTTAAATAAAACAGAAAAGGAGGAGATGTTGGAGTTATTGGGTTATCTGGCCTGAGTCATCAGCTGCAGTAGGCCAAGGTATAAGAAAGTCGGAAGAAGTTCGGGAGAATACCAAGAAATGCCGTGCGGTGCAAAGGAATTTGTTTGGTGCGTTATTGGTGCCGGGTGTAACAGCTGTATAGGGATGTGTGCAGAACAAAGCTGTAGCACGTGTAATATGCTAATATGCTGTGTTGCAACAGTGTGATTGGTATGATGTGGTCACGAGGTGCATATAAACCCGCCTTCTGATAACGCAATAAAAGGGATGCTTCGGCTTTGTTCGGGGCTCCCATCCCGAGGAAACCATGTGTTCGTGTCTGTTCTTCTACACTCATGGGAGACCCGCTGGGCGCGTGAAAACCCACAAGAAAGAGGATGTATGTCAAATAATTACAATTCTTTATTATACAGCTACAATGAAAATGTCATGGTTCTGAAAGATTAAACTCTTCAAAGAACTTTGAGGCATTGTTTACCTTAAAGAATCTTTAATTGAGCAGCATAGCTTCGGTACGTACATAGCTGAAGCCAAAATCTGACTTCCCCTCCCTTCAGCACATAGATCAAAGCACAATTCCCTCCTACAACTAACAGTCATAAATCACATTCTCCAATTAGTTTGAAATGCTGGGTTCCCACCAGTTTCCTCTCCCACCATTCTTTATCAGCTCTTGTTATGATATTGTATGTCTAACTAATTCCCATTGCATTCCTCCCCCTCCCCCCAGCATCATCTAACTCTAAGAGTAAAACAACAGAAAGAAAAAGGCTGAATCTCCATCATTGTCAAAGCAAGAACATCCAACGTTCGCAGCATTGACAGAAATAGTGTCAACTTTCCTACTGGAATCTTGAAGAAAGGAAGACACGAAGACACCTTGATTCAATCAGCTCCGGTTTACTCTAAGGTAAAGTATTGACTTAACACAGACCTATAGTAATCAGATTCTGTGCCATACAAAGTTTGCGCTGGGAACCGCCTCCCAACGTTGCTTAAATACATTTGAGCTAATGCTACCCCACCCTCTACCCCATTAATTAGCCACCCCACCCCCACCCAACAAACCACAACCCCACCCAGCAATTATCAGACACCCCACCCTCCTATCACCCAACCAGCACCCAGCAGCAATCAAAGTCTCAATCTGTTTCTGTTTGTTCTCCTAAATGCGCTCCGGTGTGTCTGGCCGTCAGCTATTTGGTGGGCCTCCGCCCCTCAGCTATTTGGTGGCTCCAGCGTCTTCTGCACAGGCGTGGCTTCCCACAGCCTCCTGCACAGGTGCGACTTCCTGGGATCTCCATTTGTGCAGGCACGGCTTCTCAGCTGTTTGACGGCCCGAACAACGCCCTGCCAAAGTCCAGATGGTAAGCTGCCCTGGACCCAGTGCTGGACCCGGTGCTGGCTCTTCCTCCACCTCCACCGTGCTGGCCTGCCACCTTCCCCCTCTTGAATGTCAAGCCTGGTGTCCTTCTGGAAGTAGGAAAAATATAATTAGGTTGGCGTTGTGGAATTCGGTGTAGTTCCCCTCCTCCCTGGTTTCTGGGGATGTTTGCGATGGTATCGGCATATTAACCGAGGTGCATTGACATCTGCCTCCCCCACCCAGGATGTCTTCGCTTATGGGAAGCTGGCTGGGAAGATTGCAAATGGTGATTGTATGACTCCACAACACTGCAATCATATACTGTAAATACATGCCAGCTGCCAAGCGTTGAATCTTTAATCACATAACTGTGGGGATGCTACAACAGTCATAAATGGGAGGACTGGTTATGTCACTTTTTTCAATGTCATTGTAACTAAATGAATGGTTGTAAGTCAAAGACTACCTGTAATATAAAGCCAGTGGAGCAAACATCTTTCCAAAAAGCTTCAAAGATATGACCTGAAGAGAGTTCAAGGTGAGAGATATTGATAGCACATACACTATCTGGAGTGGCACCAAAGTCATCTTTAGGAAACAGAATGTACCATGAGATGAAAAAATTATTCGTAGTTTGTAGCTTACATCAACAACAGAACTTCAATTAAAGTGTTTACAGTAAAGTACTAGAGACAACCCAGTACTGAAGTAAGTCTCTTTAGATGTAGGAAGAAAATGTTGTCATTTATAATAATTAGAACTTGCAGGTTAATCACTCAGATACCTGTCTAATACCTGATGTACTAGACAGCAATGAACGAACAAATTGAGAAATTTATAGCCCAGTTGCTTCACCACAGCAATGCAAAATAATTCTATTTTCATTCTTGAGTTTTCCGATACACCTTGTCTAAAAAGCTGCAGATATTTCTGAGATAAATTTCTTCTGGTAGTCAATTATTCTAAGTTTCTAGAAGTCCCAGACATGGAAGATAAATCTTCTGCCATGATTATTGCTAAGATAAAATATTTAAACAATCAGATTTGAGGATGTCATGGGGGTGTCCTACTTTTGGCATGCCCTTTCTGGGAGTCCATGTAGCATTAGATGGTTTGTGTTTTTTGTTTTAAAAGGTTTACATTATACTCTATTTTGTGAAGTTTTGTTGCTTCTCATTTGTAGTTCCTATTTCTTTTTTTACTTTTGGACTAAGGCAGAAGAAGTCCCTTTATCTTCTTATTTGTTCCCCTTAATTCTTCTGAAAGAGAATACAGTACTCAAACTTTTGAGCAGTGAATTAAGAGCAATTCTAAGAGCAATTTTAAATGGTTTTCTATCCTGCTTCCAGCTGTTGATCAAGCCAATTTCTAAAATTCCCATCTGGCTTGTAATAAGTTGGCAATGAATCAGATTAGTGCTCAATCTGGACTATGGTCATGACAAGACCTGGTTGGTCATTCCCGTTTCTCGACCTTTCTCATTCAGGTAGCGAAAGCAAGCCTTGCTGTTTGCTTACCAGGGTTTGCCTTTATCTGCCAGGGATTGTTCCCTGCTCACTATTCTTTCTGCCGTTCCCTTGCTTTCCCAGATCTTTACACATAGGGATACTTTCAAATGCCCTTTCTGTCCTGTGATGGGGGCAGTTCTGGGTCAAGGTACATCCATTATGGAACTCTTGGATAAGTCCAAATGTTGTGTTCATTGAAGTGGGCTTTTAGAGGCTAATATTAACACAAAGTGCTATGAAGTGTACATCCAGTTTGATGCAGTGGTCAAACTGCCAGCCTGTGGGCTGGATGCGTCATGGTGAAACCGCACCCACCCCATGCCGACAATGGAAAAAAAGTCACGATACATCGTGACACACACATCACATGACGTGAGTTTGACACTCCTGGGTTAAGGCATCAGGCTAGTAACCATGGGCTCTATTCTTGCCTTAAACACAAAGCCAGCAGGGTGATTTTGGGTGAGTCACCCTTGCTCTGTCCTATGAAAGAGGTAAGGCAAACCACTTCCAAAAATATTGCCAAGAAAACTGCAGGGATTTGTCCCAGAGTAAAAATCTTTCCAACTTAGGTGGGAAAGCAACAATTTTGAATCAGAGCTGAAAAACATGTTTATTGAAAGAAGAAAGTCAGGAAGCAGTGTATGGTCCACTGTATACAACATAGAAAGTACATATTTGCTCCCTTTCTCTTTTCTTCAAGAGAAATGGTGAACGAGTAAACCACAGCAAGCTAATCTGTTCATTCATCTATCCTTTTTTGCTCTTCATGCAATATTAAGTGAAGACTTCAGAGTCTAACATTTTCTTTCCTTCTGCAAGACTATTGGCTAACTCATCCTCTTTCTTTGGACAATGCAAGCACAGAGGAGTGGATTTAGCCAACCAGATGAAATGGGGGGGGGCTTTTTCCTATGATTCTCCCCAGAGAATCAATGGATCCAATCCACACTACTTTCCCATTAGAGGCAGAAAAGAGGTAAGTGCGGCTTCAGTGAGTGATCGTACAACTGAACTAGAATATTAAGCAAGCCAAAGAAAAGAGCTGCTCAAGGTTTGCTTCTGGGTAGCATCAAGGGCTAAAGCTTCCCTTCTTACAGAGCCGGAGCAACCGCAAGTGGATAATGCGAGCTGTTGGTGCCTTGTTTTCCTGTAGATACGGCACAGCTCGAAGCAGCACGAGCAATTTCAACGATCGTGAAATGGGAACCAAGGGAAGCAACGAGTCACCAAATTCTTACGAGCTGAGCTGACCCTTCTATGATTGTTACCTTTTTCACGTCCCGGAGATAAGCTCCGCCCCGTGAGCCAGATTTTCCCGACCTCTCGGCGCTTTTACGACGCTAACACCCCACTCCACCCCGCGAATGGCCTTCGGTCCTTATGTCACGCCCGAGCAATTACCAGCCCACCGTGGAAAGAGAGATGGCGACATGCGACCTTGGATTCCAGAGCGGCCGGGGTGCCGAATAAAAAGCTGGGCGGCATAAGCGCTTTCTCCACACGCTTCCTCTTAGGGGCGATGGAGGCGGCGGCGGTATTCGCGAGCAGCTCGCTGTGCTCCGGAGCTTTCTGGCAGCGCATCTCCGGCCCGCAAGAAGAGCGGCTGCTGAAGCTGATGAGCTGCGCGTTGGTGGGCTTCGTAAGTTTGGCAGTGTTGTTCAGACTCCACCGGAGAGGGGCACCGTACGGCCGCTACGCTTCAGCCTCTTACGGCTACCCTGTTCCTGCCAACCTGGCCTGGATGGTACAAGAAGCGCCTTCCTTTCTGTTCCCTGTAATGCTCGCACTGTGCAGCGACGGCGCCCGTCTCAGCTTCTGGCCCAACCGATTTCTGCTGGGACTCTTCCTCATCCACTACTTCTACAGGTTGGCTGGACAGGGGAGCGGGGTTTATCAAGCCGATCCGGATGTCTATCGGCGCAATCCCTGGCGGCTGCATTCCTGCTTATGTTCTTCCACCCAGGGACGCCGCCTTCCTCCATGAGTATGCTGCACCGCTTCTAGTTGTCCCCCTCCTCTTTACTTATACGGCCAGCTGCTTCTGCACCCTGCTCCTTGAGCGAGTCACCAGTCGATTCGCTTCAATCGGCCCTAGTGCTCTTAGTCGTCCCGCATCTATCAGCATGTTAATGGGTTCACAAGCTGTTTTTCCGCCCGCAGTCGCTCTCCTAGTGCCGCGTGCAAACGGCCAGAGGCTGGCCATCCAGCCGCTTTTGCTCTTCGCCCTCCTCCCCCCTCTCTCATTTGAATTCGGGGCACGCTATAGGCTCATAGTCCTTGATGGTCACGATTGTTTCACCTACAGCCCCGCCGTTCCGATCCTCCAAGGAGTGGGGTGGTTGCATTTGTCGTGAATTTCAGTGCTGTCCCTCCTACCCCCTAAGTGTCTGGTAAGCAGGTAAGAGGTCTATATGTCAGTTGATTGAGTTCTCGTCAGACAGCCAGGCCTCCTTGCCCCCTTGGTGGCATCTCGAGATATGGCCTCAGCATTGGCAAGATCAAACATGTGGCCATGACTATATATATAAATGAACCTCCATCAAGAATCAGAGCTCTAATTGCAAAAACTGGCTGTGCTGGAGTGAATATTATTATTTTCTTCTAGTCTTTCTTTTTTTTAATGTTGTGGTATACAGTTTGAAAAACCTATTTTCAAAGGAATTTCCTACTTTTTTAGATTACCTTTGAATAAAGTTTAACCAGGAACAGGACTAGTTAGTTAAATATTATAGAAGTCAGTTTTACATAAAAAAGATCAGCCAGTATGGCTGTAGCTTATTTGTTGAAGTCAGTTCTGAGGAGCTTTCAATGGGGCTCTGGCCAATTATTATAGATAGAATTTTAAAACAGCATCTTTGACAGAGAACATAGATGACAGCATCTTTCAGAGGTGGATTTGGGTAGGGCTGAAAGTATTAAGCTAAACATCTGAATTTAAATCCTGGATTTATTTAAAGCTTTGTTGCCTTTTCTCTTGATTAGATTACTGTCCATGTCCCTCTTCTTCATCATTGTCAGTTTATTCTTCAAAACTCATAAAAAGTAAAGTTCAGAGAAGAGCTCAGTCAACAACAGATGCGTATAAAACCCTACATTTTGTGAGGACTGATAAAAGAAACTCTGTATGGGTCTATGCATTGCACTAATTCATTGGGGCTTATATATTGGATGACCTTCTATGGAGTCTCACAGAGGGTTTGAAATTTGAAGCCATAATACTATAAGCACCAGCTGCAGTTTATAAGAAGTTACAGCAACTATGGCCATCTGACAAAATTTTAAAATTCAGTTCATTCTTGTATTGTGCATATGAAGAATAATAATTCCATATTTATTTATCTGTTTGTTTGTTTGTGTTATGACTGTTTGGGTTGCATCGTGAGTATATTATAGTGAGAAGTGGTGGAACCCAAACATAAAACTGATACCTAGGTTTCGCAACTTTTAAAACAGAAAATTAGTTTCTTGTAATTTCCTCCCAATGCTCTTTCAAAGAGAAAGTCTTAATAATTTCCTCAGATTTCAGGGTTTGTCCCAACTATAGCTTTATATTAGTTCCACTTCAATGTAAAAATTAAAATACCACTTCTATCTATGGAAGGGTGGGGCTGCAATCCCCTTCCTTCTCACTTTCAGATGTTTTCTTTTGCTTCTTGGGGGTCTTTTCCAGGCAATCCAGTTGTAAAATAGAAGAGAAAAGATCTATATTCTCACCCAGTTCCAAACACGTTGTTCACAATCTGTTCTAGTTGGTTTTTTTGCTTTGGTTGTTGGTGGCTTGGGCTAGTCACAGAAGTGCAACTAGCTTTTCTCCTGCCAGTTTGGAGGGCTTTCCCTGGGTCAAATGGATCAACCACCATCTTTCTGTGATCGACAGGGGTCCCCTCCTTCATCGCCTCTCCGGGGTGACTTTAGACCCATTTAGGGTTCCCTGGCAGGATGAAACCAGCTGTAGGGTACGGAGCCCCACAATCCCTTGGCTGTGTCTCTATGACATGAACTGGAAGTCAACATTTTTTTTATTATTTTTTGTTCAATATTTTCAGCTTGGTCTGTGTCAAGTTCTTCCCAAGAATCTAGGTTGTTGTAATGTATCGGCATAGTATATGTACAGATCCAAGCAGGTTGGTTTATTTTATATATGATGGATTCAGCCCATTTTACATCATTACATCAGCTAATATTACATAGCCCTCCTTAAAAAAAAAAACAGCCAAGTGTTGCCTCTGAATACCAATATATTGCCCACCTATCACACAGCACTTTCAGGAACAATAAAGGGATATATAAATGTACTTGTAAAATAGTACAGGGCATTCAACGTTAATCTAGACAAACTGCAAATTTATTTTTATAGTACTCTTAAATCATTTATGTCATGTCTTTTTCTCACTGTTGAGCATGTGAGATGGTAGCTTTAATGTTATTAGACTGTTCAAAATCCCTAGCAACAATGTGTACTGCTTGACCCAAACAGACAACGTGATATCATTTATTTCCTTTGTCCTCATTGTACTCATTCACAATTTATGTAGATCAGTATTTCTAAACTTTGGCCACTGTAAGATGTGTGGACTTCAACTCCCAGAATTCCTCCTGCCATCTTTTGGAGGATGATAGTCCCATCTTTTTCCAACAACATTGATAGCTCTTCACTGCATATACTAGCCAGCATATGTGGGAATACTTATTTTGTTACCCTACATGGGCATATGGAGAATTCCCTGATAGACTTGAAGTTGGACATGACCTCTTTTCCCCATTCACCCATGGTCACATGTTCAGAAATTAGAAATATAATTAAATAATTTAAACAAAGTAATGGTCCAGACTCAGATATTAGGATAGGATAGGATAGGATAGGATAGGATAGGATAGGATAGGATAGGATAGGATAGGTTAGAGGATAGGATAGGATAGGATAGGATAGGATAGGATAGGATAGGATAGGATAGGATAGGACAGGACCTTGGAGTTCTTCTAGTCCAGCCCCCTGCTCAAGGAGGAGAACCTATACCATTTCAGACTAGTGACTGTCTAGTGACTAGTCTCTTCTTAAACACCTCCAGTAATGGAGTGCCCATGATTTTTGAGGGCAAGCTGTTCCACTGGTTAATTGTCCTCACTGTTAGGAAGTTTCTCTTTAATTCCAGGTTGCTTCTCTCTTTGGTCAGTTTCCAACCATTGTTTCTTGTCCTGCCCTCTGGTGTTTTAGAGAATAGTTTGATGCCCTCTTCTTTGTGGCAGCCCCTCAAATACTGGAATATTGCTATCATGTCACTCGTGTTTCTTCTTTTGTATGACGTAATAAAAAATGGTGGATCCCAATGTTAGTTTCACTTTTCACAACAATAGATTGTTCAGACATGATACCAAAGGATTGGGGCTTAGCTATTTTAATACTAATATATAAGAAAGGCAAGAAAGATGATTCAGCTAACCCAGGGGTAGGCAACCTTGTCTCTTTTATGACTCGTGGACTTCAACAGCCAAGGTTGCCTACCCCTGAGCTAACCCAACCAGTTTCCTAAATCATATCAGCAAAATGTATGCCAAACTTCTACAGGAGAAACTGATCGGCTTGAATCCAAGGAAGTTCTGAGCAATAAGTATGCTGGATTTAGAACACAACAATTAATATTACACCATGCCTTGGTGCTGCAATACCAAGTGGAAAATTATGCTCACAATTCAGGACAATCCCTCTATGCCACATTTATCAATTTCAGCTTTTGACACAATATCTAGAACAGTGTTTCTCAACCTTGACAATTTTAAGGCATGTGGACTTCAACTCCCAGAATTCCACAGCCAGCAATGCTGGCTGTGGAATTCTGGGAGTTAAAGTCCACATGCCTTAAAATTGTCAAGGTTGAGAAACACTGATCTAGAACTAAAATTCCATAATTTTTTAAAAAATGCCGTAAGTGACAAACACCTATTCTTGCTGTGTATCAAAATGCACGAGAACACAAAATTGAAGGTCAGGTGCAGTAATTATGGACACACATAAGGAGAGGAATTAGACAGGGATGTGTAAGTAGGAATAATTTTTCAAGCCTCAGGAAACAGAAGTGCCAACCTGGACTATGTATTCCACAATACATAAAGAGCTGCCAAACAATACAAATTTCTCATTTTTCCAGAGGAGCACAGTTTATCTCTGCTGCAGTGATTTGCAGACACCTACAAATCTTCCTGGGAAACAGCAATCCCAAAGAAAGTGAGCCTTTATGCTTCCTTAACCATCTTAACCTTAGAATTCGATCAAGCTAGATCAATACTAAGACAAAGGGTCTTAGATATAAAAGGTCAAACAGAAATTGTGGATTTCTCTCACAATATAATTGTAAATAACCACATTTTAGTGTCCAAACTAGCCTCCTATCATATCACAGTTGTCAAATTTAGGAGAGTTTTATTCTTAACTCCATGTAATGTTCTCCCCACAGCTCTGGGAATGGAAATGTAGGGGGGGGGGAAACATATGAAACCCCATATTGCCCCTATATGGGTACTATAGAAATCACAGCCCATCTTCTTTTGTATTGTCAGTTCTATAGGACATTTGCATCTAGTTGATTACCCCCCTTTTATTTAAATTTCCAGGGCACTCTGATAGCTTTTATTTGCACTGTTAAAATAAATGTATTTCTCGAAAATAGCAAAATTTTGCTATATTATGCATAAGCTTTGCCCACAAATGTTTGCTAATGATTCTTCTTGTTAGGGGATAGTTTTGTGTTGCTCATTTTATTGATTGTATTTTTATTGGTCAATGACCGAAATAGTTATGTCATCTGGTCTAGATGTATCAATATTTTAACACTATTACTACTATTGTAGTTACTGCTGACAAGTTATTAAGTGTGCCTGATAGGCTGAGATGAGGGATGTTTTCACCCCAAAACAATATATTCAATCAGGAAATGGTAAATTCTGGGTGCTCCATCACTGGAGACTTTCAAGACGAAACTGGACAGCCATTTGTCTGGAATAGTATAGGTCTCCTGCTTGAGCAATATGCACTACATATTTCAGAAATTTAAATATTAGCAGAAGATATGTTTGTGTGCATGCATATGTATTTACTTTTAGGGTTGCTTGTTTTGAGTTTTTTAAAATGGAAAGTGATCTAATGATAGTGTTTTGCTTTTGAACATATGCCTATGCAAATGTGTGTGAATTACTGTATGTTCAAAATTTCAATTAAATCAAAATTTTATTTTTCATATTCCAGATCATTCATCTTTTCTGTCTTAATTCGTGAAGGAAAATCAGTACCATTTTTTATATTTATGTCAGCATTTATATTCTGTTCATATAATGGATATTTGCAAGGCCGGAGTTTAACTAATTATGCAGAATATTCATCTAACTGGCTGACAGAACCATGTTTCATTCTTGGTGAGTCAGTTCAAGTAATACATATATGTCAGATTGTCAACAATTGAGCTTTGTTTCTTATCCTGAATGGTTAAATCCTCTCTCTGTTAAGCTTTTTTCCCCCCCTTTTGTCAAGCTGAAATGGTACCTTCTTGAGAAACGCATCCCCATTTACTACTGTAGTGAAATAAAAGTCCTAGAGAAAGAAGTGATTCATATTTTTTTAGCTATTTAAATCATCAGAACATGTAGTCACAACATTTTTTTCCCCAGTGTTATTTCTTTTTGTGTTTCTGACCCACTCAAAATGGCTTGCATGGCACCATATCTTAATTTTACCCCTAAAACAACCACTAAGGTAGGCTTTGTTGAACGAGAATAATTAAACTAAGAAATCCATGAGCAAAGAGGTGGGGGGAGTGGGCAAGCAGATGTATCTCTTAGCTACTATCCTATGGAAGTTAGCATAGTTAGTGGTCTGTTCTTGCTCTGGGGCAAGGAAACTGCAAATTTTTCTTATAACCTTCATGTATCCTATGAAATGGCCTTAGTCTGAGCCATAACCAATTTGTTTACGAACTATTGCTTATCTTATTTCGTTACAAAAAAAATTATGTAAGACTGTTTGTTCACCTGGTTGTTTAATTCTTTTAATTCTCACCCACATCCTCAGAGTAACTACCACTTTTCATGCCACCTAGATGGCAATTTGGACTAAATTCTGTACATGTAATGTGCTTGTTTTGAAAAAGAATCTCACTACAGAAATCTCTGGTTTTTATGTCTCTGCCAAGCTGCAAGGGAAAACAAGCAAATGGCTCTAATCTCATCAATATCTGGCAGGATTGAATGAAATTTTCAGGCGTATCATCAATTCTGAGTTATTCATAGTTTTGATTATTAATTGGACCAGAATTCAGAACTCACAGTAGCATTGTATAAAGGACTCTCTCCAGCTTGGGACTTCAATCAGATTGAATAAAGCCAATAAAGGTAGTCCTTGACTTATAACCATTCTTTTAGTGACTGCTCAAAGTTACAACAGCATTGAAAAAAGTGACTTGTGACCATTTTTTTACACTTATGACCATTTCAGCATCCCCATGGTCCTATAATCAAAATTCAGATGCTTGGTAACTAGTTCATATTTATGGTGGCTGCAGCGTCCCTGGGTCATGCGATTACCTTTTGCGATCTTTTGACAAGTAAAATCAACGGGGAAGCCAAATTCACTTAACAAGCATGTTACTAACTTAACAACTACAATGATTCTCTTAACAACTATGACAAGAAAGTCATAAAATGGGGCAAAACTCACTAACAACTGTCTTTCTTAGCAATGAAAATTTTAGACTCAGTTCAGTGAACCACTTTTTCTAGCATTTATACACAACAATTATTGACTACTTATATTATTTTTAAAAGATTAAACTCTAAATTTCAATTCATTGCTTTAATATGTTTATTCCAGGAATTGCAGCCTGGCTAGGTGGCTTCGTGATTAACGTGCACTCTGATAATATTTTGAGAAACCTAAGAAAACCAGGAGAGACTGGATATAAAATTCCAAGAGGTAAGGGTTGCAAATGTTTAATTAATATTTAAATATTTTTGCATTTAAATATTCTAATTATTGATTGCCAGAGCTCCAAAGCTTGAATCACAATTTCTTTGTTAATTGTGATTGGTACAGAAGTTGATTAAATAATTAAAAAGTGTTATGCGTGCTAAGCAGAATCATCTTTCAGTTAATCTCCATCCCTTGTGACCTGGATAGATACAATCATACATCTGGCATCATATGAAAATGGTTTGTCATTGCTGCTTTCTTATTTCTGGCTACTTTGTTTTGTAGGATAATGAGTTCACAAAATAAGCCTGAAAAAAGAGTTGAAATCTCTCTTGAATTCATTATAATCACACCAATATTTTCAATATATTGTAGATTCAAGTAGTTCTCGTCTTACAACAGTTTGCTTAGTGCAGTGGTGGGATTCAAATACCTGAACAACCAGTTCTCTGCGTGGATGCAGGCCTGGGCCTCCAAGGCCTAGAATGGACTTCCCAAAGTGACATCCACGCTCTTCCTGTGGGCCGTTCTAGGCCTGGGAGGCCTCCTCCAGGTCTCCGAAGCAACATGGGTTTAGCTGGTTCTCTGCCCCGAACCAATGCAAACCAGCTGAATCCCACCACTGGCTTAGTGACTGTTCAAAGTTAAATGGACCTCCCAAAAAGCATTTATGATCTGAATTCAAAGTTTTGACAGCTGGCTCCCGTAGTCACGTGATCATATTTTGGAAGTATGGCAACCAGTCTGCATTTACAGCTGTTTCAGCATTTCATGGTCATATGGCAGGGATTTACAATGTATTACAGCAGAAATCAGTGTTAACTTTCAATTCGCAGTAAAAAAACCCAGCCATTGCACAGAAAGGGTTCGCTTAATGACCACTACAAAAAAATTTCATAAAATTGAGTTAATCACATAATGACCTGCTTAACCACTGGAATGACTTATGACCATCAGTTCCAGCTTGATTATGGTTGTAAGCTGAGGACTATCTGTAAGGCTACACATGTAGTAGAAAATATTACATATTTTCCAAAAATTTATCTGTAACAAGATAGGTGATATTTGATAATTCCTGGTCTATAACTCCAGGTTCTTCCAAAATATATGATATTAGTTTATTTGGACTCTTCTTAAAGAGAAGAGTAAGGCTACACATATAGTAGAGAATATTACATATTTTCCAAAAATTTATCCGTAACAAGATAGGTGATATTTGATAATTCCTGGTCTATAACTCCACGTTCTTCCAAAATATATGATGTTAGTTTATTTGGACTCTTCTTAAAGAGAAGGGACCACAAGGTGCATTCAATGTATTTTCAGTATGGCTGGATTCATGCATAACACTATACCATGATTTGTTCATTAAACAACAATTGACCAGATCCAAATAATTTGTTATAAACTGTAGCACACAAGATGCAGTGTTTGAGTTGGCTTAGATGGCAAGCCAAAACTAAACTGTGTTATTAGATGCATGAACCAATTTGTCATTTTTAAAGGTATTAAGAAAATACCTAAGAAAAAGCAACTTAAACTAAATATGGAGTTGCAAGAAATGCTGGTAGAAATAAGGATATAGCACAACATTTACCCCAACAAACCAAGAGGAATATTCATCAGCTTTCTGAACAACATATTCTTTATCTGTTAGTAGAGAAGAGATTATTCCGGTGTTAAGTTCCATAATTTAGTGAGAATGTTTTGCCTTGCTGCCATTTCAAATTTTGTCCGCTCGGGCTCAATGTTTGTGTTCTCCTTTATTTGTTCTACTGATACCGTTTTAATCAATATTTTTCATGGCAAGACTGTGAAGAAAACCTGGAATGTATCTGACAAATTCAAGGCTTCAGTGGCCCTGCCTGCTATTGGCTTCTTGAAAAACTGGAATATAATAAGGCCTTGTGTTTCTCTGCTTTTAGTGGAAAAAAACAATAACAGCTCACCTGCTTCTGGTTTGACCAAGCAGATTTTAGTTAGATTTTTCCTTCATTGCTTTGCAGGTAGAAGGCCAAATATTGGGTGCAAGGAGGAGTTTATTACCTAGGAATTAGCTGAAAATTGCCTATTTTTCCACTCATTTATGCCCATCTGAACAAAGTTCAGGGTTTTATTAGAGCAGGTTTGATAAAGAATAATGCAGTAGATGGAGAAAAAAGTCATATACAACAAACCCAAAATAATACTGTTGAACTATGTCTCCTAACCTCGTTGCTCTTTGTCCAAGGGCTTGGTTGGTATCCCATAAAAATAATGCAGAATTATGTTTTTTTGAGACAGAGGATGAAGCCAAAAAGAGGTGGGGGGAAGCCTTCTTCCCCAAACTAAAATACAGTTATAACTGGCAAAACTGTCTATCAACAGAATTTAATCTACAGCAGTGGTTCTCAACCTTTTTAATGCCGCGACCCCCAACCAGTCGTAAGCCGAGGACTACTCAACCAGTCATAAGTCGAGGACTACTCAACTGGTGCAGCACCGTTTGCAGAATGGGACTTTTGGCGGGCTCAGCAGGGCAGAGACAGCCTGGACAATTCCTATTGGCTTTTGAAAGCAATAGAATTAGACTCTATTCAAGAGAGTCTATTCTATTGGCTTTCAAAAGCCAATAGAATAAAAGGGAGTAGCACAGCTAAGGAAAAGGCGGGAAAAAATGGTGGACTGCGTTGTTTGGCGACCCCCATGAAATGGTCGTTTGACCCCAAATGGGGTCCCGACCCACAGGTTGAGAACCACTGATCTACAGTATTCCATTTTAAAAGGACAGTACCACAAAACTAGGGAGAATTAGGATCTTGAACGTTTGGAATAAAAATGATAATCTTATGATTATTTCTTTTGCTTTAAAGGTATGGTTTCCTCTCCTTTAGAGAGGTCCTAAAGCTTGAAAATCTTGGTGTTAACTAATTTCTTTGATTTATTTCATTATTCACTATCGATGTGGTTGAACAATATTCAAGATAATTCCAGTTTGCATTTGTTGCATTTTATTTGCCAAGTCAATAATTCAGCTTTTTTTTCTGTAGGAGGAATGTTTGAATATGTAAGTGGAGCTAACTATTTTGGGGAGATTGTTGAGTGGTGTGGATTTGCTCTTGCATGCAACACACTAGAAAGTACAGCTTTTGCCATCAGTACATTGCTGATATTAGGAAGCCGAGCATATATACATCACCAGTGAGTTTTCCAAAATCTTAATTTCTCTTGAATGTTCATTTAAGTTTATATGATGATTGTCACAAATACTTGCTGTCTATATATCCTGAAGTTATTGTAGACATACAATATTACATTTATTGTACAATTTGTCAAGGAAAATATAGTTAAGCTAAACATTCGGTTCATCTATATGTTGGTTGGTTTTTGAAAATTATGTTTTTTTATTAAAGTTATTTCTCAATAAAGAACAGTAATTATCTTTAAAACATCATGTAATTTAGATAGCTCATTTGCAAGAAAGTTCTGATTAATATTTCAAAGTGAACCTGCTTGATTTCAAACACTTGAATTAAACTTTGAGATATATTATAAACAAGCCCACAACATATCCCCAGAAACAGTGAGACATGGATGATGCCCTGTCTCTTCCATGGGTATTGCATGAAGGAAAATCAGTAATCTTTTATCTAGAGAATGTCCCTTGAAGGAATAGGAGTACAAATCATAATCACCCTTACAAACCAACCACAGACACACCGCAACATGCCCCCTGCCTATTTTCCTATTTCCCCCTGCCTATAACAAGACTGCATCTGATTTGCTTTGTCCATATCATGCATACAAATTCACTGGAGAAGTCAATGTTGCTAGGAATGGTTAGTGGTTCAAGAAGAAAGAGCAAGCGAAGAACTCATTGGCTTGATACCATCAAAGCTGATACAAAGATGAACATCCAACAACTGAAAGAAGCTGTGTTTAATAGGGTAGCAAAGATACAAAGATGAACATCCAACAACTGAAAGAAGCTGTGCTTAATAGGGTAGCATGGAGAGCACTTGCCTATAAAGTCAAGAGTCGGACACAGCTGAACTGTTAAAACTACTACTAATTACCTCAAAAACATCATGTAATTTAGATAGCTCATCTGCAAGAAAGTTCTCATTAATATTCCAAAGTAAACCTACCTGCTTTCATACAGTTGCTGTCAAACCCTCAAACTATCTATTCATTTCATTTCATTTTCGGGTACTGCCATTCCGTTGGGAGGGGGGAAACTCTGTGGGCTTTGAGATGTATTTCCTTTACTTGGTTCTTTTCACCTTTGATGTATCACTCTGGGTATGAAAGGGAGGAGGAATGTGCCTGGGGCCATCTGTCTTATCTGTGCTGTGCTGGGAAGAGACTGGGAGGAACATGGAACTCCTGAGAACTATAGTTTCTCCAGTACAGGAGATGGATAATCCACGGATGGGTTTTCTCTGTCTGCCTGCTCTTGAGACCAAGTAGCCAAAGCTTGACACGCCCCCACTTCCTGTGGAGTCCATTCTTAACTTGGTCTCTGCTCGAAGAAGACTCGTTTTGGCGTGGCTCTCAGCTTATCAGGTTAGACAAGAAATCCATTGATTGATTATCCCTTGATAATTGGCTTCCCCTTCCCAAAAAAAAAAAAAAATATTTTCCACCTATAGGAATTTAACCACAAAATTTTCTGGGGATCAGTCCTGATCTCAAACCTAAAATTAAAAAGGGGATTGGTGGGGAGGGAAATTTCCCCACAGATATCAGACAGCCCCAGGGCTCTGGGGGGTGAAAAGGGGGGGAAGAAGGCATCAGCAGAGACTACTTGCTGAACCTTTTCCCCAACCACTAAGTTTTCCTTGGGATCATCCCTGATCCTATATTAAAATTGAAAAAGGGGGTGTGGGGGGGGAAAACTCCCCACGGATCCCAGTCAGCCCCAGGGCTCTGGAGGTGAAAAAGGGGGGGAACAAAGGCATCAGCAGAGACCACTTGCTGAGCTTTCCTCCCCAACCTTCCAAGGGATTTTTTCCTCAAATTGGGGGAAAAAATAACAATCTCCAGGTCCGGATTCAAACTTGAATTCGGATCATCGGAGATTCCCTAGCAGCCCAGGGCAACCGCGGGCGCCATTTTAGTTGCCGTTTTCAGACCACAAAGGCAATCCCTGGCTGGGATTCCCTTAAAACGTCACAGCGCGCCAAATTTAAATCCCCGGGCACAAGCAGCTTCTGGGAGGCTGCGGAGCTTATTTTCAGAGGGAAACAAGCCGCGGCCACCCTCCTTTTTAAAAAGCAGAAGCACAGGAAGGGAGTAAGCCCCAACCAAGAAACGGAGGCTAGAGAACCCTCCTGGGATCCGCAAAGCCCGTTTTCAGGGAGAAACGAGCTGCGGCTGCCATCTCTTGCCAGAGAAAGGCAAACCGAGCTTAAGGAAGCTCTACATCATATCTGGAATCACTGATAGAGGCGGAATAGGAGCGCACAACCAGCGCTCCACCCCCGATACACACATATAATAATAGGACAAAATATAATAATAATAAAAATAGATACATAAATTTTAAAAATAATAATAATAATAATAATTTAAAAAAAAATTTTTTTTTAAAGCTAAAAATTAAGCGACTGCAGGGCCAACAGGCCTAAAGGCAGAACACACAATATTATCATCATCACCATTAGTGTTGTTGTTGTTATTATTATTATTATTTTATTATTGTTGTTGTTCCTATTATTAGTATAATAGTAATAGTATTAATAAGAATAAATTCCGCTCTAGGTGACCGCCATTTGATACCTGTTGTGTATTAAGTCAGGCCTACAGACCCTTTTGAGGTCGCCACTGATATTTTTTGCCTCCCTTTTCCTTTTTCTACTGGTGCACGTTGCCTGGTCACCTAAGGCCTCCGGGCGGAACCCAAAGAGTGGTTCCAAATGTGCCTTCGGTACCTCCCTCAGCTACCGTGACCTTAGCCCAGAGAGAATATTTTTGTTGTGGTCGGGTGATCAGGGGAACAGTCCTGGTACTTGTTCCAATTTCGCTCCCGCCAATACTTGCATGCCTGAGCGTCTTCTCAGTTTTTCTGGGACTGCTCAAGCGGAATGGAGGGACCCTCGTTGCCTCAATCCATGAGCACGACCCCTCCACCTCCCAATTACGGCTGCAACACACCTTCTGACCAGAAAGCGGCAGGCAAGTGCAAAGCGAAGACAAAACACTCGCTCAAGAGGCCCTCCAAGTTGGCGGAAAAGCAAGCCAGCCATAGGCACCAGGCCCTGGAGAAGGAGTTCTCCAGAGCGCAGAGGCAGGCCCAATTGGAATTGGTTCAAATAGCGGCCACCGAGATGGAATTACCATTGGGTCCATCCACATCAACCCAGAGCGCGTGGTCCATTCCAGGAACACCGCAACCACTGGATCCGCCATCTACATCAGCCCAACAAACAACCACGGCGGCAGGCACAACCACTGAGTCCAACTCTCCACCTGCGGTCCCCACACCCAAAGGTAATGACATAGGGGACATCTGGGCAGATGGACGGCTAGAGGCCCTATTAACCAAAGTGGTGGACCGAGCCCTAGCACAGCGCTCCGCCCACCACGACCAGGGGCCCTCCATCTCAGCCATGCCACACGCGGAACTCCCCTCAGAGTCCTCAGGCATTCAGGAACCCGTCTCCCCGGCCCAGTCCTCCATGAGTGGTTATTCGTCACCACAAGAGGAGGATCAACCTGGGATCTCTATGTCAGAGGATGAGGAACTTCCCCCTGAGCCCCCCTCAGGGGGATTATTTAATCCCAACAGCTTCCTCACGATACTACGCAAGGCCACAGCCATTGCGGACATGGGGACGGATCAGTTTTCTCAGCCGCAAGCGACACCGGCCACCACATCCAGACCGTATTCGTAGAAAAGGTGACAACGCAACACCATATACCTTGCCCCGCCATTTTCCTGACAGGGATCAAGAAGCCATGGGACTCTCCCGCTTCCTTCCCATCAGTGAGTGGTACGGACAAAAAATTATACAGCACTGCCACAGACCTCAATGAGGCCTTAGAAATTCCTAAAGTAGATGAAGCCTGGACCCCCTTGGTCTCCCAGACAGCCATGGCTGGGGACCTAATGGAGGCCCTTAAGGCAGATGACAAAAAGTGGGAACAAGCCTTTCGCAAAACCCACCAGACAGCGGCATGGGCCATCAAAGCAGCCACCTCGGCCTCCTTTTTTGTCCGGGCCACCCTCATCTGGTTGCAACAACTACAAAACATAGTTCCTATGGAGGACATACGAACACACCAGGACCTGGCTAAGATGGTAGCAGCCACGGAATACGCTGCAGACGCAACGTTCCAATCGGCCATTTTTTCATCCAGATCCATAGCATCCAACATAATTGCCAGGAGAATGCTAGGGCTAAAACACTGGCAAGCTGACACCAAGGCTAAGTGGCGGCTAGCGACCACCCCTTACTCAAGCAACGGTCTGTTTGGGGAGGCCTTGGACCCCTATCTTGTAGAGAACAAAGACAAGCGGAAGGTCATGGCACACTTGAACAAAAGGTCAGACAAACGTACCACACCTTACTTTCGTAGGCAGTCCTTTCGCCAACCGACAACCACGCCTATCAGTCAGGCACCCAAGCCATTCACTCCCAGGCAGAACAAACCGTACGGCCGCCCCTACGACAGACCGGGGTTCCAGCCCAGACAACAAAACCAGTCGAGACGACCCTTTCGTGGAACGGGTCGTCCGTACCGGAAGACAAAATGACTCCTACATAGACCTACCCATTGGAGGAAGACTAGCTCACTTCTTCCACCAGTGGGAGCAGACCTCCCCGGACAACTGGGTACTACAAACCATCCAGTCCGGGCTGTCCCTGGAGTTCCTGGTCACACCCCCAGACCGACTCATCAACTGCTCGGTCTCCAGGAACCCCACCAAACGCAAACTCATGCAGGAGGCCATCCAACACCTGTTGGACATTCAAGCCATAGAACCGGTCCCAGCGGAATACAGAGGCAGAGGATTTTACTCCATCCTCTTCGTGGTTCCAAAGACTTCAGGAGGATGGAGGGCAATCCTGGACCTAAAAAACCTCAACCGCTACATCACATACAAAAAATTCAAGATGCAATCCCTTCAGTCCATCCTGGGAAGCATCAGAGAAGGAGACTTCCTGGCATCGATAGACCTCACGGAAGCCTACCTT